AAGTTTAATGTTTATTAGTACATTACAGAAAATAATAAACTTTATCACAATATGCTAATTTTTTGAGAAGGACCTGTACAACTGAGTGAGTTTTAGCAATTTTTATGTTTGCTAAAGTCACTGAGCTGTGGCAGCCATCTTGAACCGTGGTATCAGTCGTACATGTACACCTAGCGATCACTGTCTGACAGTTTGATTCAGTTCATTCAGTGTTTTCTGATTTTATTATAAAAGACAAACAGATGAAGACAGAAGTGAACTCAGAGCAGGAACTGGTAGAGTTGAAGGAGATCTTGGGTGAACTTGTTTAGAGAGTTAGAGGATCTTGTGCAGTATTTGTGAGAGAAGAACTTGGTTTTTAACGGTCCTGACCCTGCAGAGCTGAGCCAGCCTGGGGAGTTGGCTCCTCTGTGATGTTCTGCACTTTCCACGTGGAGGAAGTGTTCCTTCTGTTCAGGCTGACAGCAGCTGACAGTTGTCTGCTGATCGACCTATCTCCAGTAAAAGCGCTGATGTCAGGAGACCTGCAGCACTCATGGTCATGTTAGCCCTGAGCTGACTCAGTATTCTTATTGACTCTAGAAGTGCTAACAAGGCTAACAGAGAAAATGAGACTGAAGAACAAATACTGCTGTCCTGTTCTCTTTACACTGGCTTCGCCCGTGACTGATAGACTTCAGCATAAATTCTAGGTGTGGTGAGTTGGGTCTGTCCCTGCAGCTGTCATCAGGCCAAGCAGCGCTCCTTCTCCTTTCCAACAGCTTGGCTCTCTGCACCCTGCCAGCCCGGCAGGCCTGAGAGCACACTCTTCTTTCACACTCGTGTGTTTTCAAGCTTGTTCTCTCTCACTTTACTCCTGCCTCACTCTCCTATCTTCCTCTTTAACTCTGCTGGTGTGATATATGTTGTTGTCTCTGTGGAACACTGGCTCTGAGCCAAACGCTTCTAGGAACTCCACTGGACATCTCCAGTACCTCTGTGTACAGACCTATAGGAGCTCTGGTATGCAAGCCCCACGAGGGTCCGGTTGCCCAGTTGAGAAACAGGGTCCTATTTAATCTGTGATCCCAGCACTTGGTGTTCTGAGAGGAAAGTCCAACCTGTTGGTGTGCAGTGTGACGCGTTACAGAATCTACAGAGTCTGGTTCCTGATCCTGGTCCCACAGCATGGATGGTACAGTYACAGTCCAGCCTTGTGAGCAAACATTCCATCCCATAAATACAGAATATTAAGGAAGCAAGCTTTGAATCAAGTCTTTAAATAGTTTGGTTTCCTTCTGATTTAAGTGCTGAGTCAGAATTCACACCACTGTTTTCTTTTTGATCATTTCTTTTGTACGGTTTTACAACCAAACTACTTCCACACACTTTTAACAAACATTCAGCTCATGTGGGC